GCAGGGGGAGCTGTTTGCAGTGCAACTGGGGCAGCCATACGAAAGAGCACCAGCAATACTGGCTGGGGTGGTGCCTCATGCCTGTCATCCCAGCACTTTGGGAGGCCAAGGAGGGCAGATCACAAGGTCAGGAGTTTGATACCAGCCTGTCCAGGATGGTGAAAACCCATCCCTACTAAAAATCCAAAAATTAGCCAGGCGTGTTGATGGGTGCCTGTAATCCCAGCTACTGGGGAGGTTGAGGCAAGAGAATCGCTTGAACCCGAGAGGCAGAGGTTGCAGTGAGCCAAGATTGTGCCACTGCCCTCCAGCCTGGGCAACAGAGTGAGACTCTGTCTAAAAAAAGAGCACCAGGCCGGGCGTGGTGGCTCACGCCAATAATCCCAGCACTCTGGGAGGCCGAGTCGGGTGGATCATGAGGTCAAGAGATCGAGACCATCCTGGTCAACATGGTGAAACCCCGTCTCTACTAAAAATACAAAAATTAGCTGGGCATGGTGGTGTGTGCCTATAGTCCCAGCTACTTGGGAGGCTGAGGCAGGAGAATTGCTTGAACCCAGGAGGTGGAGGTTGTGGTGAGCTGAGATCGTGCCATTGCACTCCAGCCTGGGTAACAAGAGCAAAACTCCATCTCAAAAGAAAAAAAAAGCACCAGCAAGCAAGTTGCTCACAGGAACACAGTCCAGAGGTGATCATGATGGCAGTGAGAGTAGGAGACGCCCCTGGTCACAATTTAGTGTTTGGAATTATCTGGGCAGGTGATCCCAAGGCCTCAAAAGAGAGAACTCTGTACTACACATGGCTTGGCACACTCTGCTCCCTTGGCTTTGAATGTCCTTCCCCATTTGCCATTCAACAGTGAACACATGCCACCTCCTCTGGGAAGCTTTCCTGGATTACTCCATAGACTGGACTGGGGGCTCTGCTCTATGTCCATATCTGTCTGCCACGGTAGCGCTAGTCAGCATTTGTCATCCTTTTGTCATCCAGTTTCCTGGTTCCTCTCACTGGTCTGTGAGTTGGGGAGGGCAGGGCCCGGCCTCCAAGCCTCCATCACCTTTGCACCCGCAGTGCAGGCAGAGTGTCAGTAACAATGTGCTGAATCAATCAGTGAAAACGAGAACGTCAGCGGCCTACGGAGAAGCGAGAGGAATGCGCAGAAACAGACCGATGTGGCCAGGTGCAATGGCTGTCGCCTGTAATCTCAGCACTCTGGGAGGCCAAGGCGGGTGGATCACCTGAGGTTAGGAGTTTGAGACCAGCCTGGCCAACAAAGTGAAACCCCATATCTGCTAAAAATTCAAAAATTAGCCAGGTGTGGTGGTGAGCACCTGTACTCCTAGCTGCTCAGGAGGCTGAGGCAGGAGAATCGCTTGAACCCAGGAGGCAGAGGTAGCAGTGAGCAGAGACTGGGCCACGGCATTCCTGCCTGGGTGACAGAGCTAGAATCCGTCTCCAAAAAAAAAAAAAAAAGAAGCCGATGCGGTGGCTCACGCGGTGGTAATCCCAGCACTTTGGGAGGCCGAGGCGGGCTGATCACGAGGTCAGACGTTCGAGACCAGCCTGGCCAACATGGAGAAACCCCGTCTCTGCTAAAAATACCAAAAAAATTAGCCGGGTGTGGTGGCGCGCGCCTGTAATCCCAGCTACTCAGGAGGCTGAGGCAGGAGAATTGCCTGAACCCAGGAGGCGGAGGTTGCGG